AGGTATCCGCAGTTCCGTCCCAAGCATTAGTCAGTTTCTAGTGACATGCTCCTCACTAGAAGGTTTATAGGAGTTATTCTTGCCTTGGGGTGATGCTGCTTAGCACGCATGCGTCATCACTTTTTAAAAAAGGTCAATAATTAATGTACATACAAGTGTTCTAATCAGACAGGTTTACTGAAAAATTAGTGCACTGAAGGATTACATTTAACGCCATGGGTCAAAAGAAAATGGTTTTTGGTTACCATCCGCATACCAAGGTCAATTGAAGTAAATTTATTAATTGCTAGCGAGCGTCCAATGAGTCTATAACTGATGGGGAATTTATAACAACGTAACACTTCAGTACGGAACAAAACATTATTTTTCCACTGCTTATCTTGATATGGAATAGAGCAGTCTTATTTTCATTGCGTGCTCCATATATGTGTTTGTCAGTCACTTGATAAGAGTAGTTGGTATCACGGTACCAATTGCTTTTCCATAGACCGCAATGCTACTGTTTTGCGAAATAAATATACTTTCTATCCTACGTCAGCATGCATGTCACACACTTTCAAAGAGAACAATGTTAGATTGTTAATTTGATAACATCGAAAATAGGTACTCCATTGCATTTAAGAGAGATAACTCTGCTGGAACTAGACAGGGGTAAGAGTTATCTAGTTACACCGGACACATTTTCAGTCATGTGTACCACATTTTTCAAAAATCTTAAACAATACAAAATGTGATCTAGATATGAATTAACATAACGTGTCATGTTGACAAGAGATTAATCTTTTTTTAAAGCCTAACAGAAAGTACAACTCTTACATAATGCACCAATCACAGCTAGTTTTGTCGTTTATTTCTGAATGCAATGTTCCATACACCTTAAGCTCCGCCCACCTGGGGTTGTACAATTGGTACCGTTATACCAGTTGTTAGTTCCTCGTATGTACTAATAAAGCTTTGGTATGCTCGATTAGTCGGTACCGAATCATTTAAGAAATACTTCATATATTCGGATTCTTCCTTCAAACCTTGTCGTATTGTTCCAGAATTTGTTGTTTAGAGGATCTAAAGTTTCTTCTTTATTATATTGTTTGTTGTTTTTTTGAATGAGGTCTCGAATATAATTATTGTCCCTATATAATTCATAAATTTGAGCTCTCCAGCGTTAAAATCATACTGAATCATATTATAATCTAGATTAACTTGTGGTGATGTTCATAGGTTATCAGGAATTGTGTGGGAAGATAAATCTGAAACAGTTCAACATGTATTGGGTCACATATTTCTCATCCGGTTATATACAATGGCTATAACGTACCATATCATCGTTCTAACAGTTCAAAGAGCATTGGGTCACATATTTTATTTCTGGTTATATATAATGGCTCTAAGGTAAAGAAACTTTCCAATACCTAAATCGAGGTCAAGTATCACCACCTAAACAAGAGGTGTGTGTGTTTTGTGTGTGTGTGTGTGTGTGTGTGTGTGTGATTTGAAATTTTAACGTAGCTATAACAATTTTTTCCGTCATATCGGTACGATGTTTGCAGTGTGAATGTTTATAGTGATATCTTGCGCTGGGACATCATGCCGCAGACAGTAACAAGAGAGGAAGAATTGCTATCAATTGAGACTGAGATTAATTTAATTTATACTGACCTTGAAGTGATGATTGCTACCATAGTCCATATGCATATTTGGGATGTGTTTTTTTCTGAAATGAATCTGTACTTTTTTGTAGGACTGTGATTCTCAATTTTATGAAGAAAAGGTTACCATGATAACATAATGGTAGATAAAATGTAAATATAATGGTATACCCGACTGTATTTTACACTTTAATGTAGGAAAAATAATATTATAATGGGAACATTAATGTTCTCGTCCCTCATGAAATAAATTATGTAAGGTACCGTTCAAGTGGGTGGATAGTTCGGTATGCTCAACATCGATTAGTAAAAATTTTCATTCTGATTAATTACATGAGCTAAACTTGGTAGGGACACTTCGATAAATGCTGTTATATAATCTTGTTTTTACTTTTAATTTGTTTCTGCAGTTTGAAATCTTAAAAGTTAGTGCTATATATGCAAAGATTGAAATGTACTTTTTCCACTGGCTAACCGTATATATATATATATATATATATATATATATATATATATATATATATATATCTATATAGAGAGAGAGAGAGAGAGAGAGAGAGAGAGAGAGAGAGAGAGAGAGAGAGAGAGAGAGAGAGAGAGAGAGAGAGAGAGAGAGAGAGAGAGAGAGATTACACCTGTTACGATCCTGGAGTTAAAGTATGTGTTAAGAAATCAATTTTGTATAAGTCTCTTTTTAATTCATTTTATTTCATTATATTAATGTCGTCTAACACGTTTTTGATAATAAAAAAGTGTTTGCTTGAGTTGTAGATGTGACTTGTGTTAGCACGTACTGTGCATGGTAGCAAATTCATTGCAGGTAAACATTCAGGAATGGCCACGAGGGCGATTGGCTGATGCTGGGTCAGGCTTTCCTTAATGTTCAGAAGTATTTTGGAAATTGCATGCTTCATCGTGCGCGTGCAGTTCAGGCTACGCATTAGCCTTCTCATATTTGCTTTGAGATTTTGTAATTCATGCACAGTCACGGACAGACTGTACTGGTCGAGAGTCAACTGTCATGGACAGACTGTCGTAGTCGAGTCTGTTATACAACTTCTAATTTGTTGTGCCAGAAGTTGTCATTATGTCTACGTAAAATAACATGCCTAGCGAACAACATTGCGCATTTGGACATTTTCTCCCTAACATTGGAACGGGACAACACATACGTACATTGTTTATTGAAATCACTTAAAGTGACCTGCAACATTGGTCATGGAGTATGTCATTTATGCTTTCCTCATTCTGAACTCCATGGACCCACAACTTGTAGCTTCACTCTCAATTCAATTATCTGTCTCTTTATTCTTGCTGTCCTCCTTGCTATAAATAAACACGTGATCATAAAAGCAACTGAAAGACTTGCAATTTTATTGGAATTTGTGTAAGCTATTAATTTGTTTTGTAGGATGCCAGAGTTGCTCAATGGTTAGTGTGCCAGTCACAACCAAAAGAATACAGATTAGATCCCTACCATGGAAGCAGCCTGGATCATGTACTGAGTTGTGTAAGGTATTTTACTCCAATTGTCTTGGCATTAAATAACTAACTTGTGTTGATTTGGTAAGAGAGAGGTCAAACATAAATTAATTCTGAGTGGGTGGGATTAATTGGTGGGTTTAATAGACAATTTGCTTTAGGAATTTTGAACTCGCCTACAAGACCTGGAATATAAACTTTTGTTACCAAGATCTCTGGCATGTTCTGTATTAAAAGTGAGGAATAATCATAATAATTTGTTGGTCATGAGTCTGATTCGCTGAGCTTATTTGTTACCATTTTAGTAATCTTACACCCGTGGTCCCTATTTCACCTGGCCATAAGTGAGATTATTAGTGTTTGTCGTCCATTAGTTAACTTTTACATGTTACTATTATAGTGGCTATGGATTTATCTGATTCGATTAAATTGTAATAATTTGTTAACAATATCTCAGAAGAGTTATCAGCAAGATATATACATATTAATGACTTGATCTTTCTTCTCATTGGTTTAGTTGTTTACCTCTAGATGTCATATCTGTGACGTATTTTGTATCCGTCTTGGAATATATACTTACAGCATCAATATCGCAAAGCACGTTGAAAATGAGTGAGATCCATGACTGAGAATTATGCATATGAATTAGGTCATCTTGCCTCTAATTGACTGAACCTATTACCTTCTAGAAGATATAAATCTAATTATAATCAAAGCTTTATCTCGGCTTCCATCATCATCATTTCAGACACGTTTTGCTATGAGTGAGATCATTGCACATTGATGAGATTTTCTTGCATCTGATTAACTGAGTTTGTTACCAATCTAGAAGTTATACATCTGATTGGATTTTGATCAAGCCTTTTTGACTTTGATCAAACCTTTTTGACTTTGGCACGCTAACCATTGAGCAACTTTGGCATCCTACAAAACAAATGAATAGCTTACAAAAATCAAATATACTATCAAGATGTTGAACACTAATTTATAATGGGTGAGATACAATCATATTAATGAGGTGACCTTGTATCTCTGACTCAGTCCAATTAAAATCAGATCTTCACTGTCCTAGGTGAAGATCGGATAAGGACCGTTTAGAGGTCACGATCAGATGACCTATGGCTATTTTCTTCACTCATAATTGCTAATTTTATAATTTTATAAGATGAAGTCTTACATCTTCATATTTGGAAGACTAAGAAGTGTGGCTGAATTGCAACAATATGTTATGAACGATCTGATTCACATTCAAGTATTTGAAAGCTATGTTCCCATTGCCTAACTCAAAGGTCATAGAACACGACCCTTTAGCGGTCGCTGTCAGATCATCCCCAAGGACAGTCCTTATCTAATATTAATCAGATTGGCGTCTGACTCAATGGCAGAGTTTGTTGCCATTCTGAAAGCAATATCTCTTATATCATCTTGATGAAATATTTAACATAGACACGTGCAGTGAAGATCTCACATGAAATCACCAAAGTACAGGATACAATAAATAGGTAAAATTAACATGATATAATATTTGAGATAGTTTACCTTGTTTAATGTGTTATTCAGAATGGTCAACTGTTAATTTATGTAATCAGGTGAATGATATCAGGACTTCTTGTTAATTTGTGTGTGTGTGTGTGCGTGTGATTTAGATTTGTAATGTATCTTGAACAATTTTTCAGTCATATCATTATAATGTCTGCAGTGTGACAGTTTACAGTGATGTCTATCACTGGAGCATCATGCCGCAGACATGTAACATAATGTCAAACCCAGTCACATTATCCTGATACCAGACCGACCAGTCCTAACACTAACATCTTAATGCTGAGGGTCAAGCGAGGCAGCTGTTATTGCCATTTTGTAACATCTTTGGTATGACTCGGCCGGGGTTCGAACCTGCGATCTTCCGCATCCAATGCGGACGTTCTAACCACTAGGCCACCGGAGTGGTCGTTCATTTATGTAATCAGGTGAATGATATCAAGACTTCTGGGGCCTCATGTTACCACTATATAATGCACATGTTTGATCCAACTAATCAAACCTGGAATATGTGCTTAAGACTCATATATACTGATGAAATGCTTTTACAGACCTGTAAACTGATATTATCACGATCTCAATGGAGTTCAGTAATTTGCAAGACTCACATATACTAACGAGTTGATTTTGCACTTGATTGTGTCACTTTGTGATCAGGCTATATTTCTGAACGGTTTTTAAATAACTCGATAAACCAATTATATCAGGATTTTCATAGGGCACAATTATGAGCTGCATATACACATGCAAAAGTGATATGGGATCTGACTGGCTGAGATTGTCAAATACTATAGTGATTATTTCTGATCAGATTTGTATCAAACTTAGTAAATAAGCTTACATCATGATCGTCACATATGTGTGCATATTTTGTGAATTCATTATAGCTAGAACAAGTTCTCAATACAAGTGTTGTTTACTAATTTGCTTTCTCAGTTAAAATAACTTTCTTCGGACCCTAAGGAAAGGTAAGCAACCCTTGATGATGGTTTTATGCAGAGTACTTCCCCTGTAAAGAATGCAAACCAGAAATAAAAAATGGAATAAAAGATGAGAAAATTTAAATAGAATATTTTATACAGGACAACAAAGTTGTGGGACTTAGGGATTACAATGAAGAATTTGAATTTATATCTAAATTTATTATATCTAAGAAATATAACATGTGAATCTCTATGAGAAAATATTTGGCTATAAACTAAGTTTGCAAAACCACTGGATTGTTACAATCACAAGAGACAGTTTTACTCATTCAAACAGATAGTGATGATTTTAAACATATAGTAAATAGTGATTTTAAAAAGATAGTAAATGATGATTTTAATTAAGTGATTTTAATGAGTCATAATTTAAATGGACAGTAGGTAATTTTGTAAATAGTAAGTGATTATTTAAATCAATGCTATACTTTTAAACTGTAAGTGAGAATGTTAAACATAGGTTGTCTTTCATGGAAGCATGGAAGCTCAATGGTTAGTATGCTGGACTCCTATGAAGGAGTACTGGGTTTGATTTTTACAGGTTGAATGAGCTGTCATGTTCCTCCTTTAGGCAAGGTTCTTTCATTTCAATTTTTAACAAAGCTAATCATCTAAAAGAAGGCCTAAACAATATAACCATGACTAACACATTATTTTAAATTTACATTCTGATTTTACTGTTTAGTACATTATAGTACTGTACTTTACATTTGGTCATGAAAGACTTCTGATTTACTTACCAATATTAATGAGTCTATGGTCATATATAAAGAATAAAATCAAGGGTCAGTTTGTGAGGAATCCCATGTAAAATTTGAACACAAGGTTAATCTTCATATATGCACCCAATGTTTGAAGGATTTTGAATGACACTGGTTAATTAATTAATCATCATTGGATTTTGTATCATATTATATTGAAATAGGTAAACCTGATATGATATAATGGTTTTAAGTGTGCTTAGTGAAATGGTCAACTGGAAAAGAATGAAAACCCAGTGAATGATATTGGGTTCACTTGAGCTGCTTGTCTTATAATTAACTTATAATTTTGTTTTGCATATTTTGCACTTTATTTGCATTCATTCTGTATTATGTTTGTGATCAGTCATTCTTTTCTCTATATTCTGCTATTGTTAGGACAATGTTACCCATTTCAGCATTGAAGCAAAACTATATACATAATGCTTTCATATCATTTGCTTTACATCCGAGTTCATGTATATTGTTCATTTAATGATTCACTTTGGCAGCAGTTGAGGTCATGTATTATGCTGATGTCATATTGGACTTCATCAAGATTGGCAATTAAACTGGTAGACCAAACATTTGTTGGTAATTATTATAATATGAAATATAATGCAAATAACATCTATTACTGGTTGAAAATCATCTACAGGCAAAAGACCAACACAGTGGTAATAGTACCATGTACTTTGTCACCCCTGTCCATCCATCACACTGGGTATTATTTTATGCCCCACCATAACAGTGATAGTACATGTACCATCACCCCTGTCCATCCATCACACTTTGAGCATGATTCTATTCCCCACCATAACAGTAATATTACCATGTACTGTCACCCCTGTCCATCCATCATTCTTTGGGTATTATTTTATGCCCTACCATAACAGTGATAGTACATGTACCATCACCCCTGTCCATCCATCACTCTTTGGGTATTATTTTGTGCCCTACCATAACAGTGATAGTACCATGTACGGGGTCACCCCTGTCCATCCATCATTCTTTGGGTATTATTTTATGCCCTACCATAAGAGTGATAGTACCATGTACTGTCACCCCTCTCCATCCATCCATTACATGGCGATTAGCATTTTATGCCCCTCCCCAACCCTAATAGGGGAATGTAGTGTTAGTTTTATTCATCCATCCATCTGTCTATCACACGTAGGTCAGGATTTCATACCTTACTACAACAGTAATAGGTGCTTGAAGTAGTGCCCTTTCCCATCCAGCTGTCTATCACACTTAAGTTAAGTTTCTATGCCCCATGATAACAATAATAATAAAGGTATGTAGTGTTACCCATGTCATCCATTGATCTATGACATCTTGCTTTGGCTTTTATGCCCCACTACAACAATAATTGGGCCATGTAAAGTTACCCTTGTGTATCTGCCATACCTAAGTCAGGTTTTGCATCTAGATAAATTCTCAAACACCATAATGTTCTGTGATTACTTGTTTTTTTTCCAGTTAAGCCCCAATTAATGGAGTAGAAAAACAAAGAAAACACTTTTACAGTAGGGTAGACATGATCAGGATTTAGATTTAGGGATTTTTGAGTGAATACAGTTTATATGGAATATACATGTATAAAATTTCTACCACATCTGCTGAGTGTCTCTTGGGAGGAGTTTGTATTTTTAGCACAGCTTGTCAAAGATCAAGTGAGGTTATAGTTTGATTTTTTTTTTGTTTTGCATTATTTGAGTCCTTTGTCATCCATCCATCTATACATGCATCCATCCACACTTGCTTGTGAGCACTAGAGGTTTCATTTCTGGTAAGATATTGAGATATGGCATGTAAGCTTACATCAGCAAAAAATTGCATAAATATTGGTGAGTCTGACCATGAAGTAGATACACACATATTAATGTCATCATCTTGCATGCTATTAGATGAGTTGGTAAACACTCCAGTAACCATCTGATTCTCATAAGATCTAAAATGTACAGTTGTATTGTCAAGATCGCTGATGCATTTGATTATGATCTAGTATGTATCTAGGCAAAGAGAGACCCAGGAAACCATGCCAATAGAGATCAAGGACAGTCACATGACTTTATGCCACTAGAGATCAAGGACAGTCACATGACTCCATGCCACTAGAGATCAAGGACAGACCCAGAACTAGATGCCACTAGAGATCAAGGACAGTCACATGAGTTTATGCCACTAGAGATCAAGGACAGACCTGTTCTCCATGCCACTAGAGATCAAGGACAGACCTAGGTCTCCATGCCAATAGAGATCAAGGACAGACCTAGGACTCAATGCCAATAGAGATCAAGGACATACCTGTTCTCCATGCCGCTAGAGATCAAGGACAGACTTAGGTCTCCATGCCAATAGAGATCAAGGACATACCTAGGACTCCATGCCACTAGAGATCAAGGACAGACCTGTTCTCCATGCCGCTAGAGATCAAGGACAGACCTAGGTCTCCATGCCACTAGAGATAAAGGACAGACCCATTTTTCCATGCCACTAGAGATCAAGGACAGACCTAGGTCTCCATGCCACTAGAGATCAAGGACAGACCAAGGACTTCATGCCACTAGAGATCAAGGACAGATCCAGGACTCCATTGCCACTAGAGACCAAGGACAGACCTAGGTCTCCATGCCAATAGAGATCAAGGAGAGACCTAGGACTCCATGCCAATAGAGATCAAGGACAGACCCAGGACTCCATGCCACTAGAGATCAAGGACAGACCCATTTTTCCATGCCACTAGATATCAAGGACATACCTAGGTCTCCATGCCACTAGAGATCAAGGACAGATCCAGGACTCCATTGCCACTAGTGATCAAGGATAGACCTGTTCTCTGTGCCACTAGAGATCAAGGAGAGATCCAGGACTCCATTGCCACTAGAGATCAAGGACAGACCTGTTCTCCATGCCACTAGAGATCAAGGACAGTCCCATGACTCCATGCCACTAGAGATCAAGGACAGATCCAGGACTCCATTGCCACTAGGGATCAAGGACATACCTAGGACTCCATGCCACTAGAGATCAAGGATAAACCCAGGAAACCATGCCACTAGAGATCAAGGGCAGACCCAGAACTAGATGCCACTAGAGATCAAGGACAGACCTGTTCTCCATGCCACTAGAGATCAAGGACAGACCCAGGACTCCATGCCAATAGAGATCAAGGACAGACCCATTTTTCCATGCCACTAGTGATCAAGGACAGAACTAGGTCTCCATGCCACTAGAGATCAAGGACAGACCAAGGACTTCATGCCACTAGAGATCAAGGACAGATCCAGGACTCCATTGCCACTAGAGATCAAGGACAGACCTAGGTCGCCATGCCACTAGAGATCAAGGACAGACCTAGGTCTCCATGGCAATAGAGATCAAAGACAGATCTATGACTCCATGACAATAGAGATCAAGGACAGACCCAGGAAACCATGCCACTAGAGATCAAGGACAGACCCAGAACTAAATGCCACTAGAGATCAAGGACAGTCCTGTTCTCCATGCCACTAGAGATCAAGGACAGACCTAGGTCTCCATGGCAATAGAGATCAAAGACAGATCTAAGACTCCATGCCAATAGAGATCAAGGACAGACCCAGGACTCCATGCCAATAGAGATCAAGGACAGGCCCATTTTTCCATGCCACTAGAGATCAAGGACAGACCTGTTCTCCATGCCAC